CCGCCCACCTGGACATGCAGTCAGTCTGCCAACGCGCTGCGACCAGGCTCAACATCCCTTGGCCCACCGTGGTCACTGAGGCTGTCAGATCCCGCTACGAGGGAAAGAAGCTGCCTCAGGCCACGAGGGCGGCAAAGCCCCTCCTTCCCGCCTTCCCGGAGCTTCTCCAAGAAGTGAGGTCCTCCTGGGACAAACACCCGTTCAGCTCCAGGTCTCCTGTCCAAGGAGCCTCCTCGCTGGACTTCGAAGGGATGGAGAAGTCTGGCATGCTTCGCATGCCGCCGATGGAACCGCTGGTTGCAGCCCACCTGCACTCACGGCTCTCGGCGACTTCCTCCAGGCCTCCCGCTCTCCCTGCGAAGGCGGAGCGCTTCCAGTCGGCGCTGAACGAGAGGGCGTACAAGGCTGCCGTCATCTCGGTCCGAGCTTTGAATGTCTCCTCCATGCTCTCAGCGTACCAAGCCGAGCTCTGTGAGGACATGAATACGAAGCCGGACCCGGAGGTGTGGGAGGAAATCACCGTACTGACCGACATCTGCCTGCGTGTGCAGCGCTGCGCGGTCCAGTCTACGGCTAAAGCTATGGGCATGATGGTGCTTCAAGAACGTGCACGATGGCTGAACCTCACCAACCTCTCTGAGAGAGAGAAGGAGGACATTTTGGACATACCAATCGTGCCTGAAGGCATTTTTGGCTCTGCCCTGGCATCAATGCAGCAACGGTGTGCGGCCAAAAAGAAAGAGGATGAAGCCCTTCATCTCTGCCTTCCCCGTAAACCCTCACCGGCGCTGCCGGCTCGGCCGAACCTGCCTCAGGCAGCTGCCCGAGCCCAGCCTCAGTTCCGGATCCCAAAGCGCCCAAAGCCTCAAGCTGTCCAACCAGCTCCTTCGGGCTCAGAGCCTCGACCAGTTTGGCCTCAGGGATCCGGCAACCAAGCTGCTCCGCCACCGGGACAATCCACCAGACACGGCGGTCAGCAGGTGAGGAGGAAGAAGTGGGCAGCCTGTCGGAGTTCGTCCCTCCCGACGCTGCAGCTGGCGGTTCCCCGTTCGCCAGCTCCTCCTGTTCGATGTTGCCATGGTGCTTTCTCCCCCCCCCTCACGGAACCCCTCCGGCAGAGTCCCCGAGCGGTCCAGGGTGGGGCCAGGACGTGCAGCCGGCGGTGCCGGCTCAAAACACACGTCACAAGCACTCACATTGTTTTTCACAAACATGTCACGCTCAAGGAGCATTAAAAGGTTCGCTGTCGCATCCAGACACGATGTCAAGGGCGCAGCAAAAATCAATAAAAATATCACCCATGAGCGGTTCCAGGCGGGGGCGGCGCCACGGGTCGTCCCCGTAAGCCTGGGCCGTCAAAGCACAAAGCCCCTGCGCATGCGCAGTGGCTGCCACGAGCACCGCTGCCCCACAACCTCTGGAGGGAGCTGGTGCTCCGTGTGTCACGGCTGTGTCACCGCTCTCCTCTCACATGGAGGAATGGACAGCGGTTTCTGCTTCACGTTGGGTGCTGAGAACTATTTCGAGGGGTTACAGACTCCAATTCGCTTCTGTTCCTCCTCGATTCTCCGGCGTAGTGTTCTCCCACGCCCAGGGGTCGTCATCTCACATCCTTCAGGGAGAAATCTCCTCCCTGCTGGAGAAGGGAGCGATATGCATTGTGCCTCCCGATCGGTCTCAGAGCGGTTTCTACTCCAGGTACTTCCTGGTCCCGAAGCGGGGAGGGACCGGGATTCGCCCGATCCTGGATCTGAGGGCCCTGAACCGATGCCTCAGAAAGTACAGATTCAAAATGCTCACGCTCTCATCCCTTTTTGGTCTGATTCACCAGAGCAACTGGTTCACCTCAATCGACCTGAGGGGCGCATACTTTCATGTTCCCGTGTACCCTCCACACAGGAAATTTCTGAGGTTTGCCTTTCAGGGAGTGTGTTACGAATACACCGTGCTCCCATTCGGCCTCTCGCTGAGCCCGAGGGTGTTTGTCAGGTGTACGGAGGCGGCGATCGCCCCTCTGAGAGGGAGGGGCATTCGGCTGGCCACGTATTTAGACGACTGGCTCCTGCTGGCACGGTCCAGAGAGGAGGCAGCGTCAAACACGCTGGTTGTGATCCATCACTTGTGTGGTCTGGGTTTCAGAATAAACTGGCAGAAAAGCGCTTTACTCCCCTCCCAGAAATTAACCTTTCTAGGTCTAAATCTGGACTCAGGGGCGTTCACGGCCCATCTCTCGGCACCGCGCGTGAACGCGCTCTCGTTCTGCCTGGCGCGCTTCCGCCTACACAGTTCGGTGCGGTTTGCGTTATGCCTCAGGCTTTTGGGTCTCGTGGCGTCGGCTATTTCAGTGGTACCACTCGGCCGTCTACACATGAGAGATTCTCAACGCTGGGTGGCTTCTCTGGGTCTCTCTCCAGTGCGCCACAGAGCGCGCAGGGTGACGGTCTCTGCAGCGTGCGTCGCGGCGCTCCGCTGTTGGCGTCACCCCTCCCTCTTGGCACAGGGGGTGCCTTTGGGGTTGGTTCTCGTAAGGAAAGTGGTCACGACAGATGCGAGCCTGTCAGGTTGGGGGGGGGGGGGGGCTCCTGGAGGGTCGCACTGTCAGGGGTGTGTGGAGCAGAGAGCTCTGGGGGACACACATACATTATCTGGAACTCCTCGCGGTCTTTCTGGCCCTGAGGCGCTTCCTGCCTTTTCTCTCCGGCCATCATGTCCTAGTGAGAACAGACAACACCATGACTGTGGCTTATATAAACCACCAGGGGGGGCTGCGCTCCATGCGGTTACACACGCTGGCATGCAGACTGATCCTATGGTGCAGCAGGCATCTCCTCTCAATCAGAGCCACCCATGTCCCGGGTGTTCTGAATCGGGGGGCGTATCTGTTGTCCAGAGGGACACCCCTGTACGGGGATTGGAGCCTGCATCCAGCTGTGTTGGAACAGATTTGGATCCGGTTCGGCACAGCCGTAGTGGAACTTTTTGTCTCCAAGGAGAATGCTCACTGTCCTCTGCGCGACCGAGACGCTCCACTCGGCGTGGACGCGCTGGCGCACGACTGGCCACGGGGACTGCTTTACGCTTTTCCCCCAGTGGCCCTGATACCACCCACCTTGCTGAGGGTACGAACCCAGCTCCACACTCTCATTCTGGTGGCCCCATACTGGCCAGCCATGCATTGGGTGGCGGACATTTTCCAGCTCCTGGAGGGCCAACCTTGGAAACTTCCGCTTTGCAGGGACCTGATGTCCCAAGCGGGAGGCTCGATCTTCCACCCTCATCCAGAACGGCTGGCCCTGTGGGTCTGGCCCCTGAGGGGTGCGGGCTAGTGTCAGCAGAGCTGCCCCAGGCAGTCATTCGAACCATTCAGAATGCTAGGGCCCCCTCCACTAGGTCCCTATATGACTGTAAATGGAGGGTGTTTGAAGCCTGGTGTCAGGGCAGGGAGGTCTCCCCCTTCCAATGCCCGGTGAACGTCATTCTGTCTTTCCTGCAAGACTTGTTGGATGGGAAGAAGGCTTTCTCCACCATTAAAGTGTACCTAGCAGCCATTTCCGCCCGACACTTGGGTTTTGGGAAGAAACTGGCAGGTCAACACCCCCTGGTGTGTAGCTTCATGAGGAGCGCGCGCAGGCTTCTCCCTGTGTCTCGACCCCTGGTGCCCTCATGGGATCTGTCCTTGGTGCTGTCGGCCCTCTCCGGGCCTCCATTTGAACCTATGGACGGCCTGGACCTTAAGATCCTGTCTCTTAAGGTGGTGCTACTCCTGGCTTTTGTATCTGCAAAGCGAGTTAGTGACTTACAGGCTCTCTCTGTGCACCCATCCTGCACCCAGTTTGCACCAGGTGACATGAAGGTGTCCCTGAAGCCCAACCCTGCCTTTGTGCCTAAGGTGGTGGGCTCCTTTTCTCCTATTATCTTCACAGCTTTCTACCCGCCACCCTTCTCCTCTCCTGAGGAGGAGCGGTGGCACAAGCTGTGTCCGATTCGCGCGCTCAAGGAGTATGTGAATCGGACGGAGAACCTTCGCAGGGGGGACCAGCTTTTTGTGTCATGGGGTGGGCCTCGTAAGGGGAAACCCGTCACAAAGTAGAGGCTTTCCCACTGGATTGTGGAGGCTATTTCTATGGCTTACTCCTGTCAGGGCATTCAGGCTCCTGTTGGGCTCAGGGCCCATTCTACTAGGGGCCTGTCTGCTTCTTGGGCCCCTTTTTCGGGGGCTGTCAATCCAGGAGATTTGTGCTGCAGCAAGTTGGGCTTCTCCACTTGCATTTGCACGCTTCTATAAGCTTGATGTTTCGGTCCCTGCAATGACTCACACGATTCTGAGTGTGGGGTCTTTGGCGGGCCAAGACATATCCCTGTAGGTTGGTGATCGCTGGATAAGCTGTCTGGCAATACGGGAGTCTCCATATCCCATAGTGAGACATCGAAACGAATGTTAAGAAAGAGAACTTTAGGTTACTGTCGTAACCCCGGTTCTCTGAGTAACATGAGTGAGATGTCTCACCAGACAACCCTTCTTGCTGGGCGAAGCGAGAAGAGGTGATTGAATAGTGTGTACGTTGGGACGCTTGCTACTTATAGTAGCAGGGGGACGCGTACTTCACGGTCACTGGCCAATCAGGATTGGCGTATTGAGATAAGTGCTTCTGAGGAATCCGCGGAGGGGCGTATCCCATAGTGAGACATCTCACTCATGTTACTCAGAGAACCGGGGTTACGACAGTAACCAGAAGTTATAAGGTATCGACTCTGCATCTGTCAACGGGATGAGTCGCCGCGAAAAAATAACCATTTCAAAGATAAAACAAGGCATCCCTCTTTACATCAAGAAAATGGAGCCAGATAGGAAAAGAAAAGTTTCTGCTGTGTGGGATCATTTTGATCTTTTAACAGCAAATAAGGTACGTGTTTGTTTTTCCTTGTTTCTGCGCATCTGTCAGAGTTGAAAACAGCAATGTGACTGACTCTCGATGTAAATTATTTATTTAATTTAATTAGGTTAAATGTCGGATCTGCTCAGCGGAGTTGTCTTATACAAATAAGAGAACTTCCTCAATGCTGAGACATTACAGAGTCAAGCATGAAAACGAAGAGGAAGCAAATACACCAAGAACGAACACAGGTAGACCTATATAGACACTGGGCGTGCTTTGTCACAGTTGTTTTACTAATATATGTTTTATTATTTTGAAATCTAGAATCTAGGAAGATTGCTCTGGACCAAGCAGTCCTGAATTTTATTATAAAGGACCGCCAACCCCTGAGTATTGTGGAGAGTGATGGGTTCAGGGGGTTGATTCATTGATCCATCTTACGCTTTGCCAACCAGAAAGGTTTGTATACTCAGTGTCTCAGATAGCTGCTGTTACTCATGTAATAAATACAGTGCTTAACAAATGTATTTTACCATTGTCTGATTTAAGGTTTATGACACAGCAAACAAAAATAAACACTTGTGATTCAAATATCATGCATGCTTGAATAATTTCCGTCCGGTGTGTCAGCTCACATTTGGGTATAAAACTGGATTCAATTTTAAATTCCTACCTTCTATTCAACAGGGCAAAACACAGAGAACTTCATAGCTGGATGTTTCTCTTGCTTTAATGACAGGTGGTCTAATTAATGTGTTGAGTACTAGACTGATTTGATTTTGATTCATTTTCAGACGGTTAAGGAAATGATGGCCAAAAAGCATGCGGAGGAACTCGAACGAGTAAAAAGGGGAGTACAGCAAGCTGTGGCAGTGAGTATAACAGCTGACATGTGGACCTCCTTGAACATGGAGGCTTACTTAGCTCTTACCTGTCACTACATCAGTGATAATATGCAGTTGTGTACATCTGTGTTGGGAGTCAAACACTTTCCACAAAGTCACACTGCTGACAATCTGGCCCAAGTCAAAAGGGGCATGATGGACGACTGGGCCATAAAAAACAAGATAAGGTGTCTTGTGACCGACGCAGCACCAAACATGATGGCAGCAACACGAACTCTTCAAATTCGACATTCAATCTGCATTGCACACAAACTAAATTTAATATCCAGCACCACAGCAAAAGAGAAGCTAGCTCAAGTGCAGCAACAGATGGGACGGCCCACCTTGAAACTTGTCAGTGAGGTACCAACACGTTGGAACAGCACATATCAGATGCTGTCACGGCTACATGATGAGAAAGAAGCAGTGTGGGTATCTCTTGCCTCTCCAAACAGATTTAACACACTCACAGCTGATGAGCTCAACATCTTAAGGGAAGCACTTCTTGTGCTGGCCCCTTTCCATCAGGCCACAGTGGAGTTGTCCGAGGAGAGGAGAGTTTCAGGATCAAAGGTCATCCCGATGATGAAAATGCTAAATTGTGCACTTGAGCGGAACTCTTTACATCTACACACACAAGCAGCCACACATCTCCATGACCAGCTTAGACGTCGCGTCACAGACACTGCTTCTAATCTGGAGTCATTAAGCGTGTCGACCCTATCAACACTTTTAGACCCCAGATTTAAAACACTCGGATTTCCTAGTTCCTCCAAGTGTAGTGAGGCTCAGTCGCCTGAAAAAGGAGTGTGCTGCAGTAATTGGTCACACAACATTTGAGCCACAGCCTGGACCTTCATCAGAGTAGTTACCCACTTCAGGCAAGATGTTCAGTATTATCAGCTTATTTTCACATTTGTTTTGTTGCTAACAAAAACTAAAACTTCTATGTATTTTTTATTATTTCAGATAATCTGTAGCAGCAGCTTGATCAAGAGGTTGGCAGACAAACCACCAACGCATCAGCTGACTCTATCGTTGAGGTCCAGCGCTACTTAGCAGAGGGAAACATTTCAAGACAAGAAAATCCATTAACATACTGGGGGAACCGGAAGACATCCTACCCACACCTTTTCCACTGGGCTTTACAGTTTTTGTGTGCCCCAGCTTCTTCTGTGCCCTGTGAACGTGTGTTTTCGAAAGCTGGTGAAATAGTGTCCAAAAACCGTAATAGACTAAATGCCAACACATTGGATAAACTTATTTTTCTTAATAAAAATTTATAAAAATTGTTACGACTGGTGATGATATGGGTGAAGGACGTCGTAACATAGAAGGCGCGGGGTCAGGATTTTAAAAGCAAACAGTTTTATAACAAATAAATGACCAAACTCATGCACAGTTACTAGGCCAGTTAAATACAAGAACTAAAGGTGACCTCCTAAATAGGGAAAAACAAGGACTGGAGAGAACACGCAAGCTGGAGCTCAGCTCCACTAATATACTAAACCAATGAGTCAAAAGTAAACTCACCAATTCTGCTATTCCCCCTTTTTGGGTTAAAATAGCAAGCAAACTGATTTAGTCCAAACCAACTAAAGGCGAGCACAGGGCTGTTAAGGTAATGGAAACAAAACAGTAATAATTACTAAATCAAAGTGCTTTTGAGCCAACACACCAAAAGCAATACTTATGCTCCACTGAGCACACACAACCTTCGTCTTCGTCTTCGTCTTCCTCCGCTTATCCGGGTCCGGGTCGCGGGGGCAGCATCCCAATTAGGGAGCTCCAGGCCATCCTCTCCCCGGCCTTGTCCACCAGCTCCTCCGGCAGGACCCCAAGGCGTTCCCGGACCAGATTGGAGATGTAACCACACACAACCAACAGGTTAATTTAAACTCTACAAAGGCTCCACTGAGCAAACACAGGAAGAAGGTTCAAACTAACCTATTTCCTACCTCTATTGAGCACACTCTCCAAAAGTTCCACAGAACTCAGAGTAAAACCAAACTCAATGAAATTACATACTGTAGGTTCAAACTAAGTGTGTCTAGATTTCATCCACTCTCTAGGTATTCCCCACTCTTTCTGCCCCTTGGTTCTTCTGGCCGCGCCCTTTTAAAAACTCAGAAGCTGATTAGGGATTGAGCGCAGCTGGAAGGCGGGAAGGAGGAGCAGGAGCGGAGGAGGGGCTGTCCCTCTCTGCAGGGAAGTGGAGCAGGAACAGGAGCAGGTAGAAACTGGTGATCATAACACCCCCTCCCTTAAAAGAGAAAAAAACAACAACATTTCAATCGAAGCATTTTAGCTATTTAATTTAATTTTTTTTTTTCCCCAGCCAATTACTTTCCATGGTCTGTATGTCTTAAGTCCCATCATTGGAGGTCTATCAAAAGAACACCACGTTGTCCAGGACATTCCCGCTAACCTCCTAAGGAAATACTGGCTAACTCAATCCTAGTCTTCATGCAGGTCAAAGGTGGGCAAATTGAGAACAAAACCAGCGGGAGATGAGGTGGCCCATATCTGAAGCCCGCCTCACAGCCTCACGGAGTACCCCCGAGATGACCCGAGGGCCAACACTAACCTCCTTACCGCAACACTATTAAAACAATAAACGGGACACATCCTAAAGAGGATGTATCCATACGTCCTACAAGGGAATTCCATAAACATTGTACAAATGGTGATTAAAACAAGGGACATACAAACCACTGTAGGCGAATATACTTAGCATCCTCTGGATAGGCCATCAGCTACAACATTCTCAGTCCCCTTCTTATGGCGGATCTCTATCAAAAACTCCTGCAGGATCAATGCCCATCTCATAAGGCGCTGGTTATGGTTATACATCCTGCTGAGAAAAACCAAAGGATTATGATCCGTGAACACAATAGTGGGGGTGGAACTGGAACCAACATAAACGTGAAAATGCTGCAAAGCTAGCAGAAGGGCCAGAGTTTCTTTTTCTATTGTGGAGTATTTTAACTGATGCTGGTTAAACTTCTTAGAGAAGTAGCACACAGGGTGGTTGACACCCTCCCCATCCTCCTGCAGTAATACTGCACCAGCACCCACTGAGCTAGCATCCACCTCAAGTTTGAACGGCTTGTTCAAATCAGGAGCCGCAAGCACTGGAGCATGACACATCAAGCATTTAGCGGCCTCAAAGGCAGCTTGACACTCTGCAGTCCACACAAACTTCTTTTTTGGACTGATCAATTCAGTAAGAGGGTGTACGACAGTTGAAAAATTCCTGCAAAACCCACGGTAGTAACCTACCATGCCTAAAAATCTGCGAAGGTCCCTTCGAGTCTTAGGAGTGTGGAACTCTAGCATGGCCTGCACTTTGTCTTTAAGGACTCTCACCTGTCCTTGCCCAACTTCCTTTCCTAGGTAATTTACTGTAGCTTTCACAAATTCACATTTGGCTAAGTTCAGCGTCAGGTTAGCTTCGGCTAATCTGTTAAACAACAAATGCAGAGTTCTTAGATGATCTGGCCAGTTGGAAGTGTATACTATTATGTCATCTAAGTAAGCACTGCAATGCGTGAGATCAGCTACAACCTGGTTGATAAGGCGCTGGAACGTAGCAGGTGCATTTCTCATACCAAAAGGAAGGACGGTATATTGCAAAAATGCATCTGGGGTAACAAAGGCAGAAAGGTCTGAGGCATGATCTGTTAGAGGGACTTGCCAATATCCTTTTAGAAGGTCTAATCGGGTCACATATTTGGAAGATCCCACACTGTCTACACAATCATCTACCCTAGGAAGTGGGTATGAATCAGGAATGGTTACTGAGTTTAATTTATGATAATCTGTTATAAACCGAGGAGTCCCATCAGGTTTCGTTTCCACAAGACAAGGGGAGCTCCACGGACTCTTGCTGGGTTTAGCAAAGCCATGTTTGAGGAGGTAGGTTGTTTCCTCTTTCATCATCTGTCGTTTTTGTGGGCTAGTACGATAAGGGTGCTGTTTGAGGGGTTTAGCACAGGACACTTCTACTTCATGAGCAGTTAACGTAGTTTGTGTTGGTACATCAGAAAACAAACATTTGTTATCACTGATCAACTGTAGTAGATCTTCCTTCATGTCTGAAGGCAAGTGGCTTAGTTGTGTAGGCAATGCTTGAAGAGCCTCAGAATTGTTTAGCCTTGGACTGGAGTATTGTGGAAATACACCTCCAAGCTCATCCTTTTCTTCAACAGAGCCAGAGGCAGGTGTCACAACAGCTACACTTATGTCTTTCGTTGACCTTTCAGGTCTTGAATGGTACAACTTTATCATATTCACATGGCACTTACGAGTTTTTCGTCTACGAGTTGGGGTTTTTAACACATAATCAGTGTCACTCAACTTCTGGATTATTTCAAAAGGTCCCTCAAACTTGGAAGTTAAAGAGGAACCTAACAAGGGTAACAAGACTAGCACCTTGTCACCAACATGAAACTCTCGTCTCTTTGCCTTTTTATCAAAATTGGCTTTCATGTTACGTTTAGCCACTGCTAAATGTTGTCGGGCAATAGCGTTTGCCTCTTGCAAGCGCTTCTGGAAGGCTGATACATACTTGCTGGCTATAACTCCTGCTTGGGAGGAGGAGGAGAGAAATCGCTCTTTTAAGGCCTTCAAAGGTCCTCTTGGAGTATGTCCAAACACGAGTTGAGCTGGACTAAACCCTAAAGAGTCCTGCACTGCCTCTCGGGCAGCAAAGAGAACAAATGGAAGTCCTTCTTCCCACGTTCTATCTGTGGACAAACAATACTTAGTTAGCATGGACTTTAAAGTTTGATGCCACCTCTCTAAAGCACCTTGACTTTCCGGGTGGTAGGCTGATGAGGTGACGTGCGTAATGCCTAGAGTTTTGGCCACCTGATTAAACACTCGTGACTGGAAGTTGGTCCCTTGGTCAGTTTGAAGGATACTTGGCAATCCAAAGACAGAAAAGAAAGTTGTTAGGGCTTTAATTACTGCTTTGGTTGTGATAGAAGATAATGGAACAGCCTCGGGGAACCTGGTAGCAACACACATTATGGTTAGCAAATACCGTTTTCCGGTCTTCGACGGTGGCAATGGGCCTACACAGTCAACAATCACATGATCAAAAGGTGTAATTACAACTGGCAAAGGATGTAAGGATGCAGGGTGTATCACCTGATTTGGTTTTCCAACCATCTGACAAACATGGCACTCCTTACAAAACATAGCCACTTGTTTTTTCATCCCCGGCCAAAAGAAATGTTGTAGGAGCGAGTGATATGTTTTATTTACTCCCAGATGTCCCAACCAATCACTAGAATGGGCCATAGATATGACCTTTTGTCTCAGAGCCTGAGGTACTACTATTTGTCGGGTTATCCCCCAGTCAGCACCTTCTGAAACGGGATTCGGCCAGCAACGGATTAACACACCGTTTTCAAGCATAAAACCACTGCTGTCTTTATCTACCACATTTTCACTAGTAACTTGCTCAAAGAAGGGTTTCAAGCTTTGGTCTTCCTTTTGAGCTAAAGAGAGGGTTTCTTGATTCAGAGGCAACCTGTCATCTTGAAGATGATCTGGCCTGGTGCCTTCACTTCCCTCTGCAACACAAGGTAGATCGTTAGTCAGGGTCTTATCAACAGAATCCTCTAAGAAATCCTGCATCAACACAGTATCCCGTAAAGTAATATCCACATCTTTACGAGCTTGGGCACGAGTCACAGCACATGCAGGATAAGTTATCAAATCCGCTTGGTTAGGGCTCTCACTGTGAGCAACCGGGTCATCTAAAACCTCTAAACTGGGGGTAACTCTACCCCCGGCTAAATCATTGCCCAATAGCAGGGTTATTCCCTCAA